TACCTGCCAACCTCTAAGATAAAAATTCAGAAGAAAAAATTCAGAAGATTTCTCCAAAATTCAGAAGAACACGAAGAATTAATATCATGCTTTGATATTAAAAAAAATAACAATTTATACAAAGAAAAAAGAAAATTGTACTTACATTAGTAAATCTCAATTAAGTAGTAACTAAAAAATTTATTAGGAAACATAAAACAAGAACTTAATGTTACACAAAAAAAAATTATTGCAATGAATTTAGAGTGCATTTTTTGGCTTTAGCCAAAAATTCTTTGGAAATTTCCTGTCATAACAATTAGTTTCCTCATAACATTTAGCAATTAAAATGTTTTCTAGAGTTTTTGGTGAAATTGAAGAACGAAACATAGTTTTGTTTTTCTTCAAAACACTGAAAACTCTCTCGCACTCAGCATTACTGTGTGGAATTACGAGAATAGCACATAAAACTCTTGCCAGTCTATCATATTTTGGTGTTCCATTAGCTCTTTTTATTCTTTTTAAGGTACCGAGGACATCAAGTCTATCTTCTCCAGAAGTGTCAAAGTCTTCAAACTGTGCAGCAGAAAATTGGTTCTGTAGTTCATCTACAGCATCATTATGGAATTCATTTTCTTTAATTGTTAACAAAAATGGAAATTTATCAATAAAAAAATGAATCTTTTCAAAAGATGAATTTTCAATTTGTTTCAAATTTGCCACTTCAGCATTTAAAAGAACTTCATTTTGCAAAGGAAACTTCCTTACAATGTAATCACAGGCTGAGGAAAAGTACTTTCTAACACACTGAAAAAATTCTTTTTTCTCATGATCTTTCAAAGAATTTACAAGTTCCCTGGTTTGATTTCCAATTATAAGATCATTGTCATCCTTTTGATTTGCCAAACTATTATAGGCAACACGAATCAACACACTGTTTTTCACAACGGACGGTTTTACAAACTTAGTATAAAGTTCTTTCAAAAGATCATTAAGAATTTGGATAAGCAGGGGAGATTTTGGCGAAGCTGATTGTAGAAGGGTATTTACACTTTCAAAAATCTTAATGGTACTTAACACAAAACTACAATATGCTTTGTTCAAATCCGAAGAAAGAAGATAGAAAATCCTTTCCTCCCGGCTAATAGAAGACTGTTTCTTCTTCCCTTCAACTTCTTTAACAAAGTTGACCTTTGAGGAGTCTTCTTTTCAAAGGTTCAAAGCATTTTGTTTTGAATCCTTAATCTATCTCGTGTATACGTGTTTTCAGCAATAACCATTTTTTTCCTCGTTTCACCAGAGCACAGTTCTTTGGAAATTCTTTAGGTTTTCTTTCCTTTTTACACTTTTTTTCCAGATAGAAAAACACATCAATCAGAAGCTGGTCAATATTTAATGGTAAAGCAGCTGCAGCTTTTTCTGCTGCCAAATTAATTAAGTGGCATGGGCATCCAATAACAATTAATTCATTTTGTTCTTTTTTGAGGAAAGAGGCTACACCCCTTTTTGTCACCCACCATGACATGAGCATTATCTGCACCAAATGAAATGCAGTTTGAATATTGGGATGTTAAGTTGTTTCAACTCATTAATTACCAAGGAGGCAATATTTTCCCCGTAGCGTCTCCCATTTAACAATGGAAGACGCAAAAGATGAGTTTTCATTTCATTAGAAACATCACAGAAATATGTGACAACGATGGGGTAAAGCTTCCAATCGCTGTCGTTGCTGCCATCGATTGACACACCGAAAATGCTGAATTCTGGAGTGCAGCTATCGTTTTACTTTGTGCATCGCAAGCAATTTCGTTCACAATAGAAGATGTTTTTCGTGCGAGCACAAGCATATTTCTGAGCAATCTTGGAGTCGGGAAATATCCATCTGAAAAGTTGACCGGCGTGATCGGCAGCGCTTAGCGGTACGTTGTGTTCGATGAGGAATGCAGTAAACAAACACTCTGTCAAAATGACATCAGCATTCGAATTCGTAGCCGAATTTGAAAAAAAAAATCATCCACTTTCTTTGACGTTGTCGAAGCCGAAGCATTAACTTCATGCTTTTTAGGCTTAACATGCTTCACAATGTCGCTTTCCCACCATGACTTATTATGAAGTCACACACGCACACGTTGCAAAATGCATAGTTATTTCCTTTGAAGGATTCTTTAATTGTTGAAAATTCGGCTTTGTAGGCAGGCAAAAAATATTGAGAATACGGTTTTTTTTATCTCATTTCGTAACAACGACGTATTAAGAAAATTCGTAGCACGTGCAAACACACAAACAAAAAAAAAAAAAAAAAAAAAAAAAAAACAGAATGCAACAATACATGCTTGCTGAGTCCGAACTGAGTAATTCCCTTGCTGCTGAAGGGAATGCGAAAAAAATAATCTAGCATCCACAAAGAAAAGAATGGGAGAAACAAGTTCAGCGCATTGGATTGGCTGGTTAAGCGGCGAGTTGGGAGAAACCGCAGGCTACTGGATTCGAAGTAGTCGGTAGTTGGCGGTAAAACACGATGCAATTGGAGAAAATCGCTGAATTGGAAAATTCTAAAATTTCGACAAAAATCACTAAAAACACTTGAAAAAGGAAAAAAAAATTGTAAAAAAAAGGAGTACGATCGTAAAATTGTAAAGACAAACGCATTTTCGTAAAAATGACGACAAATTCGTAAAAGTTGGCAGGTATGGGTACAGGGAAAAAATGCGCGGTTTTATTTGGCTGATCTAAAGAAAAGTCAAGTGATTTTAGATTCCCTAAATCAAGTTTTTTGGATGCAAATAACAAAATAATGAGTCCAGCTACATAAAAAAACAGTACAGCAATTTAGGAATAACACAAAGTTAGGAGAAATATATTACAAATCAGATTGGCAGACAAAAAATGGGAATCTCCCACCTCAATCAAGAGAGTCGGCATCTTTTGAAATAAAAAATTGCCAACCAGTGAGGCATAAATTTAATATTTTAATCACTCAAACTCACCTTCCTGAATAACTAAGCTCAAAATATGCTGATATAAGTTCTAATAGAAATGAAACACCTTCAAAATGCAAAAATTTGTCCACAGGCCTCCAGCGCAGCATAGGTGTCACTGAAGAGTCATGCAGCATCTGAATGTTATGTTCAATACTTTCATATGTTAAATCTAAAGCCTAAAGTTTAATATCTGAATTAGAAAACATTGGCATAAACAACATAGATAACAAGTTCACAATCAAAATATACATAAACATTTCAATTAAAAAATAAACAAATATCACATATTTCTAATTATAAACTGATTGGTGTATAAGTCTACAGGTAAAATTTTCCAGCACAAATTCAGCCAAGATTGAAAACTCATGTATCAACTGAATTTAAAATTGTCCTATAAATTCAGCAATATTTATAAAAAAGCAAACAGTTAAATTGTCTAAATTAGGTACATTTACTGAACAAGATGAAAATAAGCATCAGTTCTCATTTCACTTCTATTCAAAAACAGTAGCGAATACATTGCACAGTGAAACAGCCCCTTCAGTGTCAATAACTTCTCTTTCTCAGTTTTTCAAACTTTAAAGCATACTCACTGTTTGGCACTCTGGCTATAGTACGAAAAATGCGACTTTGGTTCTCGATTGTGATAACCATTCTCATTTATAAGTCTCCCTGCAAATTGATTACAGTCTCAATTTTGCAAACAAAATAAAATTCTTCATTTCTGCTATACAGTAAAATACACTTGAATAAAAATGGATTGTAAATTCTGCTAATTTTAAAATAAAACTCGTAAGCTATACTGAGCAAATTTATGAATTTAATTTTGCCATAATCTATCTTGTTTGTCTGACAAAAACATGAAAAAAAGTCCACAAATTTTATCAAGTCAAAAAGCACAGGATTGTGACTTTCTTTGGCATGGACATCTCATGGGGGATTGTATGGCTTTCCTTTGCTTTGTTCCAATTTTGAAGAAGGATCCCTTGGAGGGCTGGCCTCTCCAGAGGAGTTTCAGCTTACCATGTGCTGTAACTGCCCCATGCCATACATACACTACATGTTTACTAACATCCAAGCCTATTGATTTGAAACTGACCCCAATAACATGGCAGCCAGCACTGCTAACCAGTATAATAAATATGATGGCATAAACAAAACTGAAGATGATATTACCTCTGTGGCAGATAACACAAATGCTAATGGTGAAACAGAGGACAATAAAATTAATCTGCATTTCAGAGAATTGCTAGAAAACTCTGAGTTTTATAAGAAAATTAAGAAATTTTTCTTATGCATATCAAGATTCAATAAAACAAATTTACATTCCCCCCCCACACACTTATTTAACCTAATATAATTATTGCGATCAAAGCTTTTATAAATAATTTTGAGCTTGTATAAAAGACAACCCTCTAATTTGAGTAGCAAAGAGTTTGCTGAAATTTCTTTTATCATGCAAAAACATATACAGTAATTTTTATTTGAAATATACCTGCGTGGATAATATAAACTATTATTTATTCTTTTTAATACAGGAATTACGCTTATTGTAGCTGTCAACCTTGAAATACAAAAATCCAGGAATTAGCAGAAGAATGTCACATTGTGCAGCAACACTATTTTAAAAGAGCTTCAAAATTAACTTAAATGCATTTCATAACACATCATTTAGGTTATTGAACTATTTATAATATGATTCTGATGTAAAACGCATTATTTAATTAATATTCTATATTTTATGTTCTTTGGCTAATTTTATTTTGTAATTACTTTACACTTTTACACTGAGAAAATTTTGAGTAAGGACGGAAAACTTATCAAAGTACTTTGAAATAAAATGAAAGTATAATTAAGAATTAATTTTGTGTACTAAAACTAGTAATGTATCACACATTTATGAAAAATAAAATTAAATACAAATAGTAACTGATTAAACATTAGTTGACTTTTTATTTAAAAGTTTTTCAAACGAGTACGGTAGATTAAGACAACTGAGATCAAATAAAATTCAACAAGAAAAATTATTCTGAAAATTACTAGAAATAGGGAATGTTATTTGCAAAATTTAAATTTCATTTATTGCTGGGAAACATTTTCCTCAGTGTATGCTAAGATTTAAAAATCAGGAGATTCTGTGATCTACCATAAAACTGGAAGATATGACGAAAAACCCCCACAGGCTTTGCATTTTGATGGTGCAGAATAGTTCCAATTATTTGACATACACAGAAATGATACTTAAAGGAAATTCTGAAGAAAAAGAAAAAATTAAACTTTTTACTACTTTGTACGAAGTAAAAAAAAAAAAAGAGTATTGTAATTGCCAGAAAGTTTCAGGCATCATATTTCAACGAAAATATCCATTTTCACCACTATCGAATGTAATTTAACGATGTTTTTGTGTGACAACATCTGACTGTACATAAGAACAGAAAAAAGGACTCTTTTTCCCTCCCAAAAAATTATAAAACTGATTTAAAATGAATTCTGAAGAGAATTTTTTGTGGCGTCTGTGTGTATGTATCTCACATAACTCAAAAAAGAGTAGCCTCAGAACGTTGAAATTTTGTATATAGGACTGCTATAACATGTAGATGTGCACCTCGTATTTTGGTTGTAATCGGTCACACAAAAGTATATAAATATATGTATATATATATCCACTCTATTACCCAGTTCAGTGATCTCAGTTTCTTTATTTTTATATATGTTTGCAATTTGTGCATTTTTTGGTTTAAAAGTGATTGAATTACGCTGTTCTTGTCTTCCGGTTACGGTTTTTATGGCTTTAGTCAATCTGCATGTAATATTTGTAGAATTATCAACAGTTCAAAAGTTGTTTAAGTGCAGCTAATCCTAATTATTTTTGCCATGGTGGCCATGTTTGTTTACATTTGAACTTGGCAGAATAGTGGATTTGTTGCCAATCCAGAGAAACTAAGCTTCGCAACAACAAAGCCAACGCCTTCTTTTATTATTGCGAATTAAATCATGCTTAATCCATTCTGGAATTTATTTGATGAAATAAGTGTTTGTTTAAGATTTACTTCATAATTTTGAATATAAGACATTTTGAGTTTTTACGTATTTTAGCCTTGTAGCGAAGTGATGACTGAATTAATTGAATGAAAAATACAGAAACAGTCTGAGAAAAACTGTTTCCTTTTTTTTTTTTTTTAATTTGTTTAATTTATTTTATACATCGTTTCAGATTTAATTATTATAATATTTGAATAGAACATGTAGCAAAAATTAAATAATTCTTCAAATGATATAAATTTTGTGCATTCTGAGTTATAAAATGACATGCCATGATATTGCTACTACTCAAAAGACTGTTTTTAAAGATGATGATTTCACATGCCATTTTAGTGCTACAGCCATACCTCCGAATTTCCAGAACTTCACGAACTTGCGTTTTCTGAGGCTATAGTTCATAGCCTTGGAAAGTGATATATAGAAGTCATATATGGGAGTAAATATCCTCAAGTCACAAACTTCGCTACATAACTGCCAATCTACTGTTATAAAATGAATGAAATGTAATGCTGTTAAGGAAACTTAGCGCCAGAGTGTCACTATGGTAAACAAATATAGTGAATTTTAAAAAGTGCATTTATTCTATTGTGGTTTATGCACTATCGACGAAGTAGATTTAATTCAATCCAATAAGTTTATAGGAAATGCAAGAAAAATTGCGTATAATTTAATATTCCGTACAAGGAAGTCATGTGGTGTACACATTGGATTTTTTTCCTCTGAAATAATGAGACAAAATAAATATTCATCTATTTCTTAAAATTTATCCTAGACCTATAAGAAGGGTCTTATTTTGAAATATATTTTTGGAAAATACACACTGCATTTATGGAGATTCTAAAGGCTTTAATACAGAAAATTTAAAGAAATTGAAATTAAAGTTTTTTCTACTGTTAGCAAAAGAGAGTTATGAAATATACTTGTATCAGACTATTTTAAAGGACACAGAAACTGGTCAGGGCACTTTCATGTAATCTAGAAGAGAGTTAAAGTAAATTATACAAGATAGCTACTCAATGAGTATGTATCTGTATTGTATCACCATCATATTCACAATCACAGCTAGTTGATCAGCAAATCAACATTTCTAACTCAAATGTTTGTATATGGATACTACTCCAACAATTCTGAGGGCATTCAAGAATACTGCAACGACTGATGTCCAGATAATAATAGTATAGTTCAAGTTGAGATTCATAAATATTCACTTAGTCATGATGGATGGTAATAATATAATACAGTAATAAAATTATTCTCTTATTTATCTATTTAAGTTGGCTTTTGTCTACAAATTGAAGTCACTAGCTTATAAAAAAAAACTGTTGTATTCTGCTGTGCATGCTCTTAAAGTGTAATTGGTAGCATGCTTGGATAGTAACTGGAAGATCTGGAGTTCAAATCCAGGTGAGGGCATAGCTGACATCTCATTTTTCCAGTCTCTTTTTTTTTTTTTTTTTTTTTTTTCTTTTCTTCCCCTTGTTCTTTAGGGTTTCAGAATTAAAATCAATAAGTGCAGAGTACACATTTAAATGTTCTCTGTACATGGATTGGCTCAGTGTCACAAAGAGAGAAAACTATAAAATTACTGAGTCAAAGATGAAACAGGTGAGGATGAAGGCAATCATGTGCAGTTAAAAGACAAAAGGATCCTAAAGAAAACCTGGGATAGTATATCCCTTGGAGACAATGTCAAGCCTTTACACACAAAACTGACTAATTTTTTTTTTTTTTTTTTTTTTTTTTTTTTTTTTTTTTTTTTTTTTTTTTAATTCCATGTTTACCAGTCTCTTAAGAGATTGAAAAAGGATTAAATTTGGGGGTTTCAGGGGGCAGTCATTCCTATCTTTACCCCCCCCCCCAAAATATCAGAATCTCACTATGCAGTAGATGAAAATGATAAAGTAATACAGCATATAAACTTGCAATACATGAGCAATGTGCCACTTCTGTTGCACAATCTTGAGGCTAAAACACCATGGTTCACTTATAATGACAAATAACAATATAATATCATAGGCATTTGGAAAGCCATTCAGAGTGACTCAATACATTATTATTATTGTTATTATTATACTTTATGAATTTTTATTATTAGATGAATTATTAATATTATACTTTATGAACAGACTTCATATTATATATTATTATACATACCTTATAAAATTTAGAATCACATTTTGTTTGATCCTGCTTTGGAGGATTATGATTCATTAATATATCTTGTTTCAGAGAAGTAAAACAATTTTTTTCTTCCACTAGTAGAGCTAAATGGGCTTCAAAGTATCGCTTCAGGGCCACACAGACATGCCTAGTTGTCTGCCGGTTCGAAAATATTTGATCGTCACTTAAATTCCTGTTTCTAGTGCGAACATCTAAAGTTGACATCTAAGAACAGAAAATGGATTATGTTAAAAAATAAAACTTAAAATTACTTTAAGATGTAAAAAGTAGTTAATATATTAATAGAAACAAACAGCAACATACAAAATACAGTTTACAAGCTATGATTTCTCATACTATGATGAATTTCTAACTTAGACTGCAATCAAATTTTAAAGCCCTATTGTCATTGTTGCTATATATATAACACAATGCATACAATAAGCCATTTACCAGAAAAATGAAATAAAATTTATTTATTTACTTATTTAGTAATTACTTTCTTAACTATAAACCATTTACCTGTTAATGGTCCTACGAAATAAAATTTTTAAACTATATAAACTATTTACATTCATTAAAGTAACTTGTTTCACAAAAATATTACTTCTAAATAAAGTTTAAAATACATTTAAAAAAATTCTAAATAGATACCATTTGGTAACAATTTGATGACAAAACTGGGGTTAGATTTATTAATATGCAGTGAGCAAGTGAATTTGTTAATGAAAAAGGTGTACTATAAATGTACTTTTTTTTTTAAACAAAGAAACACATTAAAAAAACTTATAGATTTTTCATCATAACTCACAGATAAATAAATTATCACTCAATTAACTATTTGTAAAATACATTAATATTTTAGTAGATATCTTAATGTTCTTTGACTAATTTGACTTTGTCATTATTTTACACTTTTAAACTGTGAAAATTCAGAACAGGAAAGAAAATCTTTTATTCACTAAAGTACTTTTAAATATGATGCAATTAAAGTTAATAATTAATGTGCCTGATATTAACTTAGTAATATATCATTTATTGATGTAAAGCAAAATTAAATACAAATATTAACTGATTCAAACAACTGAGATCAAATACAATTTAATATGAAAAATTACAATGAACATCATTAGGGAAAAAATTAATTTATTCTCAAAATTAGTCACTTTACTGGAGGAAAAGTGCATATCACTTTATACTTTTCTCAGACTTAGTTCTAGGAGATAATACATCATGCAAAGGCTGTTTAGAGCCATGAAGTGCACAAACCTCTGAAGCAGTCAGTACAATATATGAGAAAAGCTTTAAGTTTTAAATTTAATTAGTATCTCTTCCAGACATTATGAAATCAGAAGTGTTGAGAAAGAAGGCAAAGTTATAATGCCATAAAAATTATGCCAAGACAGACCATCTTCCTTTTACACAAAAGACAAAATGGAGATTTTAAGACAAGTATATGATAGTCACAATTTTAAACAAATCAATCTGGCAAGAAAACTAGAGATCAAAAAAGTATTCATTTATGGACCACTAGCCGCTATGCAGCCAGCCTTCACCTAGCTTTTAAATGTACCAGAAAAATGTCTAAAGGAAACACCAAACATTAAATTTAAAAACTGCAGAGAATTTTACTTTACAGAACAACTATCACAAAAGGAAAAAGAAAGGGTGGGAAAACCCAAAAATTTCAATAAAAATGTATTACATATAAAACAAAATTACAATGAAATAAGCAATATCCCTTAATACAAATATTAATTATCCTAATAAATAAATTAGCCAACTTCACGTTGCCTTCTCTGAACAAACGTCCAGTATCCAAGAGAAGCATTTAATTTAAAAACTGCACAGAATTATCGCCCTCATTTTCCCAAGTGGCAACAGTGCTGATATCAGCAACAACGGCTACATGCCATTGTTGCTGATATAATAAGAGAAAATTATTGATTTGATAGGATTTCATCAAACATAAAATTTTAAAAAAAAACTCATTCGAATTTTGAAAAAATTGCTTCGAGGTGCACTGTATCTTGTCTAGATGCACCTATGTACTAAACTTCATAACCCTGGGTCCATTAGCTTACGTGCAGCACAAATGAAAGAGATACATACAGACAGACTCTTCCTTTCGTAATATGTAGAGATCACCATTAGCATCTTCATTCCATCTTCACCTTTTACATGGTGATCTATTCCAATCAATGTCCTCCAGTTCCAGATTTGAGAACATTCAGAGTACACATACCCAAAAAACACAAACTGCACTTTTTTAACTGACTCGAATTTTAGTTCCCAATTTTTTATTGCATAGTTATTTAAGTTTTTATACTTGAAGCCAGCCATTTAAAGAAATTGTTTATTTAAATAGCTAACACCTGCAAGTGTCCTAGCCTAACAGAATATCAAAATATTACACTAAAAAGTATGAGTAATGGGTTGATTGGTTACTTGAATATGACATAGCACAAGCCAGCTATCTACCCAAGAGGAAGAATGCTTTCATGAAGGGTTTTCTAAGGGGAATTTGCTTGTTTTCATGCTACATGAAGAAAACCATAAAAACACCCATGCAGCCTGCTCATTCACCTGGGTTCGAACCCAAACAAAGTATCAGTATTCAGTGATATTAAAGAACCCAGGTCAATTCAACAATGTTAGCTACTCCACTAATGGTGCTGTCAAAATATAAAAAGGAATGAAATGAAAATCAAAGAAGAGTGAAATATAAGCAGATTTGCTGTTAATCTAGTAATTTTTACAACTGAAAACAAAATTATATTTTTCTATGCATTCTTTTTTTGTTATCCCCCCCCCGTTGCTAATATTTATGTTTTAAAAATGCAATAGCTTTTGCTGTATTTCTTATAGAAATCTCAAATGTGTGCATGTTTTACCATCACATTTTCTATAGGATTACACACTGAATTAATATTAGTAATCATAATTATTTTTAACATGTATTTAATCCAGGAAATAAGTAGATTTCCTTTTTTCCCCTAAACATGACAAGAGGAAAATTTTATTAAATTGAATAACAAAAGTATCCAGGATTCCGGACATTTATGCTATGCCGCCCAGATGGTATAGTGGTTAGGAAAGCCGACTGCAATATTACAGGGCCCGGGTTCGAATCCTGGAGAAGGCATGGATTGTAAATTGTCTGTCCTCTCATAGGAGGTATAGAGTGGCCACCTATTAGGTGCCTATTAGGTGTCCACTATAAAATGGCCAACATTTCCAGCCTTAGGAGTGGCCAATGCTGAAAAATGGTAAGTGATTGCCGTTAAAACAAAACAAAATAAAAAAACAAACAAACAAAAAAAAAAAAAAAAAAAAGATTTACGCCATGTATGTAAAGGAATGAAAGAAAAAAAAATTAGGGAAAAATTACTTACATTTAAAAATTAAATCAATATTTTTTAAATTATTTTAAAATTTTGTTTAAAGTAGTCTAACGATATCTTTTTAAAACTATGTTTGTAACATACTGTTAACAAATATAGCAAATACATATGATAAATAAGTGGTATTTTATGCAAATGAAAATTATAATATATGCTTTACTTATTTTAAGTTTTGACTATTAAATTTTTAAAATATAACAGGAAGTTTTTTTTTTTTTTTTTTTTTTTTTTGAGGGGGGGGGTCAGATTTTTTTTTAAAGCATTTGATAAAAACTATGTATAAAATTTTGATATATTTGCAGATGCTTTACTTATTTTTCAGTTTTGACTATTCAATTTTTAAAATATAACAAGAAGATTTGGGGGGGGGGGGAGTTAGATAAGTAAGTTTATTTTTAAAAGCATTTGATAAAACTATGTATAAAGTTTTGATATAGTTGCAGTTAAAAACTATGAATTTGTTTTCTTCTTCTCTCTCTCTCTCTCTCTTTTTTTTTTCCCCCTCTTTAATATTCATGTGTTCGAGTTAATATAAAATATTTTTTAAACTTTTTGCACATGATTATTACTATAATTTTGATGAAACTGTATCAAATTAACATCTGCAGTCATTTTTTTAAGAAATATTTAAACTAATAATTAGTTAAGCTTTCTTTTTTGGGGGGTCACAGATGGTAGAAAAAAAAAAATTTTAAATCTAATAGCAGAAACATCCAAATTTCCACTCATAGTTTTGTGTAGTATATTTTAAAAAGTACAAAAATATGATTTTTTAAAAATTTTTAAACAGTTTTCTTTGTAGGGGGAGAACTGTATGATAAAAGCATTTTGAATATATGCAAGAACCAAGGATTGTATTGTAAGCTTCCACAAGGCAGCCTTAGCTCAAAAGATGCCAGCCACTGTGGGTACTTTGCCTTTTTTGATAATGGCGTGTTGAAAGCTCAGTTAAAAGAAATCCATACACAATTATTAAAGAGTTGGCAGAAGAAATTAATTCATCATCAATGACTGTAAATCACCATTTGAGGTAACTGGGAATCATGTATAGGCTAAGGGTTCCACACAAACCTTCTCATGCTAATCAAAGACAGCACGTGAACATTTATACTAATCTTAATTCACATGAAAAAAAAAAAAAAAAAATCATATTTATTTCAAAGTAGAAGACTATAAAAATGTGCAGTGCTCTTGCTGGGATTCGAACTCTGGACCTCTTAACTGCCAGCCAGATATGCTTTCAACTACATCACAAAGGCATGCAGGCAATACAAGGGAAAAAACCTTACACTGTCCTCCACTTAACTCCTTCACATCCAATCCGCCCCACACGGTCCTACACTGAAACAACCAGAACCGCTTGAAAACAGCACGTGAACATTTACACTAATCTTACTTCACATGAAAAAAAAAATCATATTTATTTTAAAGTAGGAGACTAGAAAAATGTGCAGTGCTCTTGTTGGGATTCGAACTCTGGACCTCTTAACTGCCAGCCAGATATGCTTTCAACTACATCACAAAGGCATGCAGGCAATACAAGGGAAAAAATCTTAACACTGTCCTCCACTTAACTCCTTCACATCCAATCCGCCCCACACGGCCCTACACTGAAACAACCAGAACCGCTTGAAAACAGATAAAATTGTAATCTTGTTTTCTTCTCTCCCCCTAAGGTATGCAGCAGGTGCAGTTTCCCCAAATGCATTGTATCAGTTTACTGCAGACGGCTTGTCCTAAGAGGTTTCTTATCTTTTAGTTGATTGTGACATTTCGTTATTGATTCTTTTGTGGTACAGTGTGCTTTTAAGCTTTAAACAGCAATAAAGAAGCAGTTTAAAAATTTAAGGGATATATTTATTTTTAAACAATTTATTCCTTCCTATAAAAATAACAGAAATAAACAAAATCTCAGTCGTGATCATAACAAAGCCGGAAAGGCTTGTTGGTCTGACCTTCAGAATAGTTTTATAAAGAACGGGGTCAAAGGCTAATGGTATCTTTGTTAGAAAGTACAAAGGATGTCATTGGAAATCTTCACACCTATTTTCTGCGTTAATGGATGGGGAGGGGTCTGGATTTCAAATATTTAAAGGGCAACTGGGGAAGCCAGGACTCAATCACTAAACTAATTCAGTTATCATTTATCACTTTTTTTATTTCAGGTGCCACTTGTAGAGATCTTTTAATTTCTTTTTTAAAGCCAGCAAACTTAAGAATCATCAGCACCCTTGCCAGAATTCAAACTGCACCTCCTGATCATTAGCCAGATTTGCTTCTCAATTACATCATGAAAGCATGTGGCAAGGAGGGAGAAAAACCTTACGTGCTTGGAAAATTTCACTGATGGAAAATTCCCATGAGGCACTGGAAACTTCAAAACTTTTCTCTAATATCCCTCCTGGTTTCTTTAGGAAAGTATAAAAAACTTACTACTGTGTTGGAAGAATGTTCTTGATTCAGAAGGGAACCACTTATGTGATTAAATAAGTATCTTACATATCTTTTTATTTCTTCAAAACATACTTCAAAAACAAAATTACTTACGGAATAACATAAAGGATAAAACAAAAGAAGTGACATAAGAACTTCTAAAGTTCCAAACTGGAAAATCAAAAGGAAGGAACGAAAATTTCAATACTTACAACATTGAACAACTTGCGAAGGCCATCTTGTTTGTCAAAGTGCATTAGGATGCTTCTAAATGCAAAAGCAAATCCAAAAAACATGGTTGCATGGCATCGGCTTGAGTCATGGGAACATTCGAGAAGCCAAAGTGCATAACTTTAAAAAAAATTTTTTTTTTTAATCTAATGATAATGATAATTTACATATAAACAGTGGGAAAAAAACTATACATCTATATGCCATTACACAGCCTGATCAAAAAAAAAAGTTTGTGGAATTTAACAGAAAGCAAATGAAACTTTATGTAATAATTAGTGTAAATAAGCAAGAAATTTATTGTCAATTAGTTTGAGTCTTTATCAAAGTGTTGATGTGGTTGATGCAATGTTTTGTTTGACCTAGCACAGCAACTTTCAGATTTCAATTGATATCACAAATGGATTTAAAAGTAAAACGTTTGGTGATGTTGATTCATCACATAATAGTAAAATTCTCGGACCTTGAATATATTTACATTCAAATCCTGATTAACCGGGGCAATATAAGAAATGATATCTTTGGTTAATTTAAAATCATGGTTTAATGGTTAAAGTTATGGAGTATTGCTTGCTCAAGAAAGCCAACTGCTTAAGAGAAGTAAGGTCTCTTCATTGAGGACTCTATAGGGAACTGGCTCATTATCCCATTACACAAGGAAAAAAGAAGAAAACCAATCATATAGCCAGCCCATTCACTTCGGTTCAAAGCCAGGATAAGCTACTAGTATTCTGCAGTCTTAACCTTTCGGCCACTGCTGCAGCCTATGGTTAAATATAGGCAGTTAAAAAACATAGAAAAAGAGGAAAAACCAAATTACAATTAAGAGAAAAATATCATTAACAATGAATCTATATTTTCAAACAGTATAATCTGGAGATTAAGCTTTTGTTTGTTTGTTTACATAAAACAAATTAATAGTCTAAATAAAAAGAACATGCAGTAAATATAGAAGAAAAAGAATCATTAGAAATGAACAGAACTGATGTTAAAAGAATAATATTTACAAGAGATTTGAACAGCATCATCAAGTTCAACTTAATTAAAAAATGTCAATCAGAACTTTTTGTTTTTGGCAGAGTTGATCTGACAAACATCATCTGCTATCCTTGTTACTACCAATGATTCTTTGTTTCTTTCTTATTTTCTCTCCTACCTCCCCCCCCCATTTACTGTAAACAACTGTATTTCATGCTGATGGTTTATAATAATACTTTTCCATTATTCTACAGTATTAATAAGTAGTAAAATCTTTGAGCACTGGTAATTCTATCAAAGTTCAACCCCCAACAGACGGACTGACTGACTGCATGGGAAGTTTTTGCAGTTTTTTGAATGTGTAGCATGAATACAAGCCAGTTTCCTTTTGAAAGACCTTCATGAAGGCATCCCTTCACTTAGGCAAATAGTCCTCACATGCTTTGCCATAATCTAAAAATTCTAGTTGGTACCATAATACAAATAACATAACATTTTTTAAACAGGACAATTAATCTGCCTAATTGATGGGAAATTGGTTGTATTTGCTTGAAGTATGACATCAACTAAATGTACACCAAACACCTTATAAAATAAAATATATTAATCTCTAGAAAAACACAAATCCAACATTGAAAAGGGGGATTTTATAGTAACCAGAAAGGTAAATATTACGTCAATTCTACCTGCATGCATAAAGAAATTGAATTAATAGTTATCTATGTAGAATGAAAGTACATGAGAAACTCTAGTACAAGTTTTAAGATAAAATGCTAAATTAGTATTTTGCTAAGAACACATTTAACAGAAAGCAAAAAGACTCTATGTTCATTAATTAAAAACTTAGTCATAAACATCAAATTTATATCATTAGCAATATGCAAAAAAGTAATAATAATAATAATTTTTACCTGACTAGATTTGTTACAATGGATGAAGGCAGCAAACATATCTATAAAAAAATAATAATAATAAATCGGAAATAAGTTTCCATCATACTTGTATATTAGAACACTAGGTTATTTGTACATTAATTGGTACCCACTAATACATTTTAAAAAATACACCACTGATTCTTGATTTCTGTGAATGTTCAACACACTTGTATACTGTTCTGGATTCTTCTAGGACATGACAATTTTTTTTTTTTTTTTTTTTTTTTTTTTTTTAAATTTCTTTTTCTTTTTTTATTAATGTTTTTGGGGAAGGGGATGGGGAAACCAAAGAAGGGCTGGAACAGTTTCTCATTTCACTTCAATATATATTCAGACAAATTAAAGTTAGCATAATTCCACACAGCAAAAATCTGAGGCGAGGGTAATACTTTTCTTGCAAAAAGTTCTGAGGACAGTGTTTCTTCATGTCATATTTAAGCATTCTGCACAATTCATTAGTTTATTAGATTTGCAAAGAAACAAAGCAGAAGGATCCATTACTTCCAGGCTAATGACATTTTGTCAAAGTACTGCAAATATTCTAATTCTCATATAATATAATTGTGCAGATATACAAAGGAAATGAAATAACAACAATAGCCAATGAAGTGTTAGAACTGGAAATCATACACTGAAAAAGGAATAATGATATGTTTGATGGGGCTGATAAATAACCCTTGCTGGAAATCAGAAAAAAAAAAAAAAAACGTTTTACTGAACTGCCAATGTCAAAAAGCACCAAAAGGTTGTTAAAGGTGTACGACAGACTACTGGCTAATATAAAAGTACTGATAAACTACTTTGAGGCTAATTTTACACACTATATTTAAGGCATAATCACAGTAACAATGGAAGTTTAACTATGAAAAATATCAGAACTTTAACAAATCAAATACTTCTCCCAACTATGGGAGATCTGCTTACATGACAGTTCAATTTTCTCCTAAGTAGAATGAACTGCATGATAGCATATGGTATACAAATAATAGCAATCAAGTTTCAAGTATTCTCCTGTTTTTTTTTTTTTTTTTTTTTTTTTTTTTTTTCCCTCTTCCTTTTCAAATTATTGACGAAATATAACGATTAATAATAAAAGCCCAATATTATCACAAAAAAATAGAGGACCAACACCTCAACATATAATATTGGTAACAAGATCAATGTGTTAACCTTTTTACATCCAGCACAGCATTAAGTTCAGCCAGATTACAGCAACTTCATTTTTAGTTATCCACTCAAAATTCCAAAACAGTTATTGCATTCTATTCTTTCTAAATAATTATGTTATTCTGTTAGTTTTGTTATTTAATCTGTTCAAATCCACACATTTGAAACAGATCTCATAGCAAATGAACAAAATACATATAAAAAAGAATAAACACTAAAGGCAGTTCAAACGTAATTCAACTGCAAGCTGAAAGCAGCAACAAAGATGTTTTTTGCCCTTTTTAGAGGGGGTCTTGCTTCTCTCCCTTTTGCATATATTTATTCCGCATTGAATATGGGATAAACTTTAAATGCATTATTTATTTTATTTTGCTTATATATATATATATATATATACACACAGTACAATGTCTGAGATCCAAACGTCCAATATCCAGAATGATCTAAAATCTGGACTTCAAAACCGGCAACAGCTTTTCTTTTTCTTTAATGGCTTATGCATGTGCATTTGATTTTTCCCCCATAAATAAAACATGTGGAGCATCCTGATTCTTAATTTCCATTCAGCACTAAACACATATCTCATTATTAAAAAAACAACAATTTAACATAAATTTGTGTGACCAATAATTTGGCTCCATAGCAGCATATCTGCTTGGAATGCATCTCAAACTGAAACACTCTAAATAGAAACATCATTGATTTTACACCTACTAATATTTTATAACCCTGATGCTAACCTGGCGAATCATTATTTATTATATTTTGCTTTCATCACCACATGTTTATCAACACATGAAAACTTGAGTAATGGCTCATGCAGCAATGTCCAACCATTTTTTTATGTTAGTAATTTAATAAACAAAGAGTATGGTGACCTTTTATGTGAACAATGATCACAGATAAGATCACAGACCGCTTGGCAATGATCATAGATTTAATTTAAATGCACTAAGAAATATTGATGATGGGAAATTTAACAAATTTAATAATTTCCATATGCTAAAAACACATTTTGTTGATGATACTGATAGGCCAAAAGATTACATTTAGTGCTATTTCAATTAAGAACAACTGATTTGTTTTTCACATAAACCCAGAACTGGCACCAGAGCTCGAATGTCCACACCGGGTGGCGAAATATAGGGAAGACAAGATTTTTTTAATTTAGAGAAACACTGAGCAACTACATTAAGGGATGAAAATATTTTTGGAATTTAGGGAAAGCACTGGGATCCAAAATTTAGAACTTAGGGAGGCACTTGGTAGCAGAATTTAGGGCCCGCTGAGGCGGTTAGATATCTAGCACCAGCCCTCGATAAGCCTTAAATACGTGTTGGAATTTAATTTACTCAGGACTCAGATAAGCTTAAGCCATGTGCAAGAAATAAGACATAAGTATAATAAATAACTAAACTAATATGATTCAGGCTTAATTGTCTCAGTTTTGTTTTCGTTTTGCGATTTTGTGTTGGTTCATTATAAATGTCTGTTTCACTTTTCAAACTGTTGCAACCAAATGTTAGAGTCCTGCATTATATTTGAAGAAATTAAATAATGAAAAATCTGCATAAATGTATATATGTTTCTCGCATTGTGATAAAACAATGGTACCTAGAGTCTTCCAATTTTTAATGATGTAATCCTACTGCGAATATGGGCATCTGGAAGCCCAAATTTGAAATTTGGAATTTGTTTTATTATCGATTTAATATTCTGTAAAACTTTAACGAATTTTTGATTAACAAACTCAAGGATTTCAAAGAGAGCAATGGCACATGTTGTACAGAAAAACAAACATTTTTATCTCCAGCGTGCAAGGCCGTGTATCGGAAATTCTAACGATATCCTCAATTTAAAACTAGTTTGCGATATTGCTCTTGAACTGAATTTTATATTTTAAGTGCGAAGAATGTGATATTTAATAAATAAAGGTAACAGACAAAATGTTAAAAAAACGTCCCTTTGGACGTAATTTAAAACCTGAAACCCTTCAGATTTTTGCAGGCTGTTTTTATTACAGCAAATTTATTTAAATTAAAGTTTCAACTTCCAATTATGTCAAAAATAGTTTCTAATTCTGGAGCTGCAACAACATCTACAAAGTGAAAGCATATTTTAATGTCCATTAAACAATAAAAGGAATTGCTGCAAAAAATGGATAAAGGTCTCAAAATTATGTGAGGAGTATGGCATTGGAAAATCAACTGTAGATGACATAAGAAAACAGAAAAAAAAAAAAAAAAAGCATTCTGAATTTCTTGTGGATTTTGATATTCCACTTGCAATGAATAATGGAGAAATTATTTGTTATGCTAAAAGTGATGATCATGACAAAGTGATGACTGGATGAGTCAAACAGCGTCGCAGCGAGGGCGTTCCATTCACGGGTCCAATGCTAATGGCTCGAGCGAAAATATTTTACTAAGAGATGAACTTAAAAGCTGAGTGTACATATTCGATAGGTTGGATAACCAAATTTAAAAATCGCCATAGTATAAAGCAATTAATTAAAAATTTCAGTTGAAGAAACTTCATCTGATACTGAAGCTGCTAAATTAATTGTAGATGAATTCATTGAATTCCTTAATAGTTAAAAGTTATCTCCAAAACAAATTTACAATACTGAAGAAACTGGTCTTTTCTGGCAATAAACACTTCAAAATAACTTAGCAACCTCTACAGAAAGGACTCCAACTTTTCTACTGTCAAAAACTGCAAAGCGAGACTAACAATTTCCGCATGCACAGACGCTGCAGGTACGCACAAGTGTAAACTTTTCACAATCGGAAAAAATACACGACCTCGTGCTATTAAAGGGGTAGAAATTTTCCTCTTTATATATCATGCAAATAAAAGAGCATGAATGATATACAAGCATTAATTCTAATTAATGATACAAGCATAGATACTAGTTTGAAAATTGTTTCATACCAGAAGCTCGGCAATATTTGAATTTGGTTGATTTACCTGATGATGCAAGAACTGTCCTGATTGTAGACAACTGTTCGGCTCACACTAGTTTTAGTGAAAGATAACGTATCTGTATTATTCTTTACTTCAAACTGTATGTCCATCATTCAGCCTATGGATATCGAAATAATGCACGCGCTGAAAATGCAAATATAAACTAGAAATTTTTTAAATCAGTGTTAAATTCCTTGAATAATGGTAAGACTATTCAAGAACTTTTTTAATATTTTAGCGTGAAATCTGCTTTGTAGAGCATCATAACATCGTGGGAGGATGTGTCACAGGATACTTAAAAAACTGCTAGGCATGGTTTATGGCCAGCCAGCATATTTCTTGGTGAGGACAGGGTGCATTCACATTTCTGCACACAGAAATTAAGTACTTTTAAGGACTACTAAGGACCATTAATGAAAACAATTAAGGAGCTATGACCAAATAGGAACAGAATACATTCAATTAAAAATATTATCTGTCTGAACTTTACTTTTGTAATACCATCCTAAAAATAAAATAGATCCATAAGTAGGATGCATTATTATTAAACATAACTTAATTAACATAATTATAATAAGTCCACGAATAAAAAAAAATTTATTAAATTTATCAAGTAGCATTAAATATTTTACACTTATAATAGTTGGACATATTTGAAAGAAGATAAGTGACATTTTATTTATGTTTTACTAACAGTTAGCTTTATGTTGATTTTTTTTGGGAGGGGTCTCATTTCGTCACATACTTGCTCAGTCTAGAGGTTTAGTAAATAGCAGGTAAGCTTTATCAAGCAGTATAGGTTAAAATCAGAAGTAAAATCATAATCAGCATGATTCATAACAAAAGACCGGCTATTGTCACCACTGCTGCTTGCCTTGAGAGAAATGCTGATCAGAACACAACTGAAAGGCCTGATGTAGGCACGGTTGGCAAGTTTTGAAAGTTGGTTGGGCCCTGTCTGATGAAGTTAGTGCCAAAGCTTCGGGTAGAGTTCCAGGGATTGTACTTCAAGATTCCAATAAGCCACTACAGCACCAGAGGTGACAAATTGTTTGTTTTGTATTGTTTGTATAAGTCTCACTAGATGCAAAGAATAAATTTTACATAATTTTTACATTTTTGTGTTTTATCTTGTGATCACAGTAAGAAAGAAGATAATAACTCACTTTAATATGCAGAGATTTAATTTTTAAGGGTAAGCACTTAGATATAAATAATTAAATTAGGCACTTAGATACCCTTAGTCATTACGGCCACTATTAAATTTTATTTATTTTTTAATAATAAAAAGTCCGATTAAAATCACAACCTAATAAAATTTCAGTTTAAAATACATGTAATTAATTACATTGATTCTTAAACAATATTAGGATAATTACACATTAAAAGCTACAAAACTTTTATGTTTCATAGCAACAATATTCAACAAAATACTTATACGTCTTTTTAATTTGAAACCTTCCCAGAGATTTTGAACAATTTATATTGATTTCCTTCTCTTTAAGCATCTTTTCTAACAATTAGAAATTTGTCTCAATAGGCAAACTAATGTTCTCACTAGTTTCTGCGTACTTTATCTCCTAACTTGTCAACCTCTCCACAATGTAACCTATGAGGGCTTACTTGATCTGGTAAATGTTAAATACCCCCAGACAGAAAATTATCACTATGTCTGAAATTAACTAAGACATAGCAAGCAAATTATCACTATGTCTGAAATTAACTAAAGTCAGAGGAAAGGTTTAACTGAGCCTCTTATTTAAAAAGAACTTAGAACATAAAGGAATGTTCTGCTAATGAAATCTGCATGATGTAACTAAACAAGAGTCAAATTAAAACTAATCAAGTAAACCCTCATGGACTAGTAGTCAAAGACTATATACAATTTAATTTAAGCAGGCTCAGTAACTCTATCGTCATAACAAACTCAAATGTTGGCAGCGATAATGCAAAGATGAATAATTACAAATTATCAGAGCTGGTGGGAATTATGCAGAGAGCAAGCAGAGTTCAGAAACACACTCTGTCTTACACTCTAAAAACCTCAGTTTGAAAACTGTGTAAGTGATTTGTATTCTGGTGAAGAAATAGAAATGGGAAATTACAGTAAAGGCTGAAATTATAAACAACTGGGTAATTTACATAATAATAACTGCAAATATCGTTGAAGAATAATTTTCTTTTATGTATTCAGTTTCTTTCTTCAACATGTTTCCTTTTCAATTTAGAATTTTTTGATTTAATTACAGATTTCTGTTATTCTAAAAAACTAAATGCCTTTAGAATGTATAGAAAAAGCTACTAATTTTATTTCTTTAGTAATATGAACATTCAGATGAAACATGAAATATAAATGGTAAGAGCAGGTTACAGAGCTAATGTGGCAAAATTTTTAGAATTTAGTGACACAATGAACAACAAAATCTAGAAATGGCAAATCATTTAGAGCAGGCATTGGGAACAGAATTTAAACAGACAACTAGGCAACTCTTGTGACGAGACAACTTCTGTCCTAAAGTTGATTTACCAATCGGAATTAAGTGTCGTCCCGCCAACTTATTTATCTACAATTTTTGACCCACGGCCCAGGGGCAGACGAGACTGTACCAGTACGGTCTCTGTCAAGCTTACACCGTCCCAAGTAAACTCGGCCACAACCTGTGAAGATTGTTATTATACCCTTGTGGTTGAGACTCTCTAAGTACAGATCCAAGCCAGTACTTTCCAGGAATTCTCCCGAGTCAAACTCTGAGACAACTAGGCAGCAGAATTTAGGATCCACAGATTGCATCAGGTGTAAAAATGCCTAGCACCAGCCTTGTGTATGATGCATTAAGAAATATTAGATGAAGCTTTCAAATTGTCAGTTTTCAATATCTTTATTAATAAAACAATTCCTTTCTATAATGCCTGTCCATGTGATAAGAGGCATTTTTTATCTTTTCCACGCTCATGTCTAGTGAAAAGTAGGTGAAATAAAGGGAAGATAAACATACTGTGAAAAAGATACTAGTATCAGAAATAAAACATTAAAATATTATGTTTTTATTGTTCTTCCAGATGTTCTTCAAAAAGTAAGAAATTCATCACAAACTTTCTGTAAAACACATCCATTATGTGTTAATACCATGCAGACATTTTTCATTTTGTCACATATTTCTAGAATCTTCTTGAATCGTAAGTCTATAAATCTTGCCTTCAAATCCTTCTAAACTTTCCAAGATGCAATGTCTAAAATCCTAAAGAATAATTACCCCTACCAATTTTGTAACAGCCAGAAATATTTGGAGGGGGAGGAATCAGAGGAAAAACATGTAAAATTAATTTTATAGAGAAAACTGATGCGAATTTTGAGAATTCTGAATATTCTGATACAATTACGTTGGAAAAACTGTTACCATGAAAAACTTAAAAAGACATTTTTAATTAATTACATAACTATTTTGCTTTTGCTAAGAATTGTTGTGTAAATTGTACTTCATAGCATTAAAACTTGTTTATTTTTCAGATTCAAAATATTGTATAATAAGTGGCCAAAATGGAACTTTATAATGTGACAGCTAAAAATAAATACATTTTATTTTAACGTTATTTTTTTAAATAAAATTTCAATATATTACTATTATTTTAATGAAATTTTTCAATGTTACAATGCTAAAAAAAAGATCATCGAAAAATTCCAGATCTTGGAATTAAAAATTTTCTGAAGAAACTAATAGTACAATCACCAAAATGTTGAAAAGTCACCAAATTTAGAACAGTTTAATAAAAGAATTCACATCTCCAAAAGCAAAAAGTTGCTTAAGAGCTCTTTATTGTAAAAACTGAAATAATTTCAAAATGCTTATTTGCATTTCTTGTTCAGAAACTCGAGTTTTCTACCATTTTATATTAGAAGTAGGTATGAATTATAACCCATGAACCCATTCAAAAGCTAACCAACCATATTTGTCAAACATATTCCTCCAAATGCTAATTCACCTATTCAAAATGTCAGTTGTAAAAGCAGAAATTTCAGATGATTAAAATTAAGGACCTTCTGCTGATTTTGGCCAAAAATAAGGACTTTTAAGGATTCTCATGAACCCTGGAAGATGATGAAGATGATAGCTGCTAATGTGAAGGTTTTCAGACATCACAAACCAAAGGTTAAATTTTCAAATAAATGGATTTTTTTAAAGAAATGGCATTGACATGGTAATAAATGATGATATAACAGAAGCTTTTCATTGCGATGACAATGCTCCAATTATCAATCAATTAGCAGATGGTGAAATCTGTGCTATGGTTCTAGATCCAGAAAATACTGCTACTACAGGACCTTAAACAATAGAACTTTGTAACTAAATAAGAAATTATGCCTGTCTATACAATTAAAGAGAAAATATTACCACAAAAAAGCAACTTAAACAACTAACATTGAAAGAAATGTTTAATAAATAAAATAAGCAAATTTTTTTTTTTTTTTTTTTTTTTTTTTTTTTTTTTTTTTTTTTGTAACTTTATTTTATCTTAATATCCGGAAAAACCAAAAATCTGGAATCTTCAAAGTCTCGACAAGTTTGGATCTCGGACTTTGTACTGCATTAATTTTTTAAAAAGTTGCTGCAAACATAAAAATAAGGCTAGTTAAATTATATAAAAATATTTAAAAAATTTAAATTAGTAGTATAACAGTGGTACATATCAATGAACTATAATAATATAAATAATTTCAAAACTTGGCTTCTTGGCTTTCATTTTAGTGAAAAAAGCCTGTTTCTTCCAGTTGGTTTCTTCCAGTTTTTCCCCTTCATTTTTCCCATTATGGAAGAAACTTGAAAACCTTATTTACTAAGGAAAGCTGAAATTTATCATATGCTGATAAACAGGGACTCAAAAGGTTAATATGTCAAGTTTCAGTTTCAACTTAGAATGTAAAGTTATTATAAATGCATATTACAAAAATTATTACCTTTTCCATAGCCTCTTCAATGTATGCTAAGTAATATAAACATAGTGACACCCCAGTGGCTGCTATAGATGGATAAGGAATCCTCAGAAGCAACTGCAAACCTCCAGTGTTTAGGAATTCAATTGCAATTTTCTTGTGACACAGTAATGATGCCAGGTACTATTCAACAACAAAATAATTATTATTACATCACTATTATTTAAAAATTGATTTTTAACAATCATAACAAAATAAATATACCAGGAACCTATCAGAATTAACTCAATAGCAACCCAATGCAAAGTTTAACTTATAGTGTTAAAAGTAAAAAATCACAAATCCATTTTATTTACATCTGGAACACTCTTTACATTAAAAATCTACTTCTTTTTGCACATATAACAACAGCCAACGTTGAAATATGAAAAACTGAGAGTTTTTTTTTTCGGGGGGGGGGTTGAAAATCAAAACATTTTTGCACTACATGGTGATGCCATCGCAAAATCACAAATTAATCAAGGTTATTGAACTATTTATAATCGAATTCTGGTGAAAATACACGATATTCTTAATTTTATCCTCTTTGGCTAATTTCCTCTTGCTATTTTGTTACATTTTTGTACTACCGTCTTTTTCTGAAAATAAGACATCCTCCGAAAATAAGCCCTATTGTGATTTCGGAATCTTTTGTAAAATAAGACATCCTCCGAAAATAAGCCCTATCGTGATTTTCGGAACTTTTTGTAAAATAGGACATCCCCCGAAAATAATCCCTAGTTAAAATATTGTGACAAAAAGAATTCGTTAAAAAATGCTGTTGATTTATTAAGTATAAGTAATAATATGTTTAGCTTTCCTAATACACGTATTTCAGAGAAATGTTGAAACAAAATATTCCGAGAAATTAATTGTTTACCTCTACAGTTCGTTTCAAATTAATTCTTGGAATTTATCTTAACCAGTTCACCATTTGTCCCGAGAGAGGTACGTTCACAGGAAAGGCATCATCATCCATTAGCGTCGGCAGACTCTCATCGGGGTGAAATTTGGGCTGAACGGTAACCCCCGAGACACATACGGCGCAGTGACGATAGCTATATCGCAAGACATGAGAGATTCGGACCAATGATTCAACAGGAAATGGATTTAGAAGAAAATCAGAATATAATTCAGAATTTTATTTATGACGATGTTCCAGAAGAAGATGACATGACTGTAATTGAATAAATTTAAATTTCTGTATTCTGTGTAAAATAAATATTAAATAAAAATATATAAATGTACTTTTATTTTTGCCCTTTCCCGAAAATAAGCCCTAGAGCGTATTTTGGACCAAAAAAGAAAGTAAGACAGTGTCTTATTTTCGGAAAAAGACGGTATGTATACTTGCCAACTTATGACACTCAAAAACCAGGAGATTTTTTTTAGAAATCGGGAGATTTTTCACAATGTTAAAAAGACTTTTTAAATGATAAAAATATAGTTTTTAATAATGAATTAACCTTAAATAGTTACTAATTCTTAAATGCAAGCAACACAAAAATACCTTACACATAAAAAAACATTTTTATTACTTGCATCGTTTAAGAAAACTAAAAAAACAAAAACAAATAGACACTTTAATCAGTTTTGTTCATAGCAATTGCCACGTAGGCTTGCTTTTGCTAATAAAAGTTTTTCTAATGTGTCATTACATTTTAGATCTAAATTTAAATCTAGATTTAGATCTAAATTTAGTCCTCATTTTCGCAACAACACTGAAAATCCTCTCACATTCTGCATTACTATGGAGAAATGTCAAGATGGCTAACATAATTCTAGACAGTTCACTATATTTTAAAATTCCATCTGCATCTTTCAGTTTTCCAATTAAACTCCACTGGGTGTCAATCCTAGCTGATTTTTATAACTTCATCCAAGTTTTCTAATGGTAAACTGCAAAACTGCGACTGCAATATATGAGTGGCGACATCAATATCATCATCTTTCATAACTAAATGAAGTAACACAGGAAATATGTTCAAAAAGTACCTTATATCAGAAAAGATGCATTTGCTAGAGCAGAAACATCAGCAACTTTAGCATGCAAAATCACTTCATCATTGACCAGAAATTTACGTAGTATGTAATCACATACTCGACAGAAGTAACTTCTAACATGAAGATAAAACTTATTTTTGTCTTCTGAAAGTTCTTCCACTACTTTTGTAGTTGCAGGTCCTGTTACCAAATCATCTTTCTTCTGATTTTCTATTTCACCATAAATTACATCATATATAGAATTACAAGACAAAACACAGACTGATTTTACAAACTTTGATAAAATGTCTTTAAACAGATCATAAATCATTGATTGCAAAATATGAATTAATGGAATTCTGCTTTGTAGAACTGTGTTAAAAACATCAAATGAAGGCAAAATGAATTGTAAAAAAAAGCATAAAGCTTTGTTAAGGTCTGAAGAAAAAACCATAAATATTCGTTCTTCACAAGATAAACTTACAGTGATCCAAAAATGTTTCGTGTGTTGAGCAATTTTTTTATTTTTAGAGAAATTTGTATCAGTTTACGCTTATATTTTGCAGTATTATTTCGAGAACTGCCAGTTTAATTGCTGATGGTGCAGAAATTAATTTTCTTACCTATTTTTAACAATGGAAGTAGTAACTATATCTAAATTTACTTTAGGTATTTTATAACTTTCAATAGAGCCTTCTATCTTAACTCTCAAAGCATTTTCTTCTTCTTTAAAAAATGCAAGAAGTGGGTTCCATTGATCGAGGATTCTAGATAAGTATTTATTTAAAGACAACCAGTGTGTACACATGTTCCAAAATTTTTCTCATTTCAGTATTATGCAGCTGTTGGAACTGTTTCAATTTTTACTTCCTTTTAGAACTCCTTTCAAGATAGTAATAAATATCAACAATGTGTTCATCCACATTTATTCGTAAAGAAGCTGACCCTTTTTCACTTGTTAAATTTAAGAAGTGACAAATGCACGTCATAATCTGCAAATCTGAATTTTTCTTTCTTAAGATGCCTGCAACACCAGTCTTCAAGCCTACCATTACTGATGCATTATCGGCACCGAGTGCTAAGGGAGACCAGTTAAGTCCAGAGGGACTGCATTTTCTTTTAAAGTTTTAATCATTACAGCTGTGCTATATTAAAGCCTGTCGAATGTCGTTCTAAAGTGGGGACACAAAGTAAATTGCACTCAATTTCTGAAGACTCTGAATTAAAAAAAGAAATAACAATTGGATACAGTTTTGAATCGGTATTATTGCTTCCATTCTTAATGAGGCAGAACGGAACTGTTTTAATGGAATCAATAACTGAAGATTTATTTTTCAAACCAATTTTTTTTAACAATTGCACCTGTTTTGATCCTTGCACTTAAGTATTTCTTAGCGATTTCACTATCAGAAGACATTCTTCTAAATAAAGCTGCAGCGTGATCCGATGCATTCAGTGGCAGGTTGTGCTCCAGTAAAAAGACAGAGAGCAGACATTCTTTATTAATAACTTTTTTGTCAGTCCTTTGTTTCCGAAGAAAAATTTAATTTTTCGTTTTTCAACTCATTTTGTTTCAACTCATTTTTATGTACGCACATGTTTGAGAACATCCGCCCTTCCACAATACGAAATGGAAAAATAGCAACAACAGACAGTACACATCACAAATTTATTACATTTCCTTGAGGAAATAATGGAAAGAAAGTCAACTGTAAACGATTTTTGAAACGTACACGATTATTTCACCTTTCTCGCAGACATAACAAAAAATAATAATTTCTAAAACTATTTCTCGAAGGCACATGTACTCACACAACTCAGTACAAGATTAACAAAATAACTAAAGAACATCCAAATAACAGCCTTGAGCTTGCTTTGTGCTCATTGGCTAATGTATGCCAGATGACACGCAGCAGACCTCGATTCCCATTGGAGAACTGGAGAATGATGTTTCTGGATATGTATATGCTTTCACTTACAGAGAAAAAGTTCTCATCCAATTCGCAAGGTTTTGTTTTAGACATAATCTAGAGAAAATTCAATTGCTTTTCAAATGTCCTAAATCGGGAGAGTTGACAACTCTGACTATGGAAGGAAAGCTGTTATTTATCAAATTACTATGGGATCCCACATTTTGAAACAAAAGAAAAAACACATTATTATATAATAAATGAAGCATGATCAACCCAAACTTATTCCTTGGCCACAAGTATAATACAGTGTATTGAAAAGAATACATAATTATGTATCATGGCACACATCCTTATACGTATATAGACAAACATGGGTTGACATCAGACACTACACACTAACAAACAGACACTATACTCTTACATGGATATTTGTAATATGGCATGGATGTTTACAAATGTATAAGGCATGGATAATGGAGAAGGTATGGATGTTATAAGTGTATAGTGTCTGCTACACAGACGACACTCCCCCCCCCCGGGTTCAAAACTAGGCCCAACAATATTGCAGGTAACATCATTAACGGCTATACCAATGAGGGCATCTTTGTTCATGCACAGTACGAAAAAAATCTTGAGAAGCCGAAATGTTCTGTCAGAGGCAGGAAGCGTATGGTCATGCATTATGTCTCAAAAACAACAGCAGTAAACTGAGCAAGAATGAACCAAGGGAAGAACATGAACTTCCTCAAAACTAAATCCCTGAAGAGTATATGGTATGTTGTAAAGATTTAAAGACCTACATACCATATCCTCACAACAATGTGGAATATTCCTCAAACAGCCTTTTAAGTGTTTAACGTTATACAGTCAAAAGTCTTTAATCCGGACGTCCATAATCCAGAATGATCTATAATCCGGACCTCAAAGCTACAAACTTTCTGCGCATGCGTAAACGCATAATGCTTTTACGCATGCGCATAATAATTTTATGCATACGCATATGCACGTACACATGCGCATAATAAGTTTATGCATGCACGTTTAATATATAACAGACGGTATAAGCTAAGCTAAAATTATCTAATTATCTATTTCAGTAAATGTTGCAGATTGCGTCGTTCCTTAATCTTCTAATTGGATCCGGCTTACTATTTTTTGCAGACTGTTAAAGCAATTTTATAAAAGTAAGCTTGAACTTTAAATTATGTCAAAAAGAATTTCCGATTCTGGAGCTGCCAAAGGATCTAT